GGCATCCACAAATTGTCAGACAGGTGGAAAAAAGGTATTGCTAGCGATGGGCAATACTTCGAATAAAATATTTTTTATCATTTTCATACAATAACGTGTATTTTCTATACAAAAATTCCGGTTTCATATTTACATACCTGGTATACTTATGTACATATTTAAGAGTTAAGACAAACCTTCGAAAATAATTCGATAAAATTGGTTATAAATGAATGCTTTGACATTATTGGTGCATGTAAAAAATATTTTATATTAATGTTTCATGATATTTAATATACCTCTTAGTGGTATGTGTCCATATTTCCCGAAGACGTCATACTTTTCAATTTAATTTTGCTCCTAACATTATTTTTAGGTACCTTAAGGAGATGCTGGACATGAAAACTTTACCGACATAACACTGACTTTTTTCCGGAAGGTTTACGTTTTGCTGCTTGCACAGAATTACAAACGCTTTTACACAATAAAAGTACATGCAATAAATAAATTAGAGCATTGCTCAATATGTGACAAATACGAAAAAAATATTTTTAATGTTAAATTTTGAGCTCTTAGTGCAATATTTGATTAATACAAAAATTTCGCAGGTTGCACATACCGAAACTGTGGATTCAATCAAAAAAATTTCAACAATCATTATTATACTTTCAGAATTTAGTTTAGATGCCAAAAAAGATACGAAAAGTTTGCAGAAAAATTTATAACAATATGCGGTTAAGTATTCGACAAATATGATAAAGTAGAGCAGAAAATTATTTCACGGATATTTTTCCAGTGGGCACTGTACTTTCTTCATATATTTCACAACGTCAGAATATTCAGCGTATATATATTGATATGCCTGTGTGCTACTTTTTGGCTTTTCCCACCCGATGCTCTAAAAAAGAATGATTGGCTGACAAAGAGATAATCTTTTGCCGGTGATCCGTTTGGACGTGAGATTCTACGCGAGCAATTATTTCCAAAGCTCTGTAATAGTTTGTTTTATATTAAATTAACATAGTTCTTTTCGTAAGAATATTACTTTTTATTCCCGTGATCGTGAACGCGAGTGTGAAAGAAGGAGATTCCCAGGCTGCACTTCGCAGAGCGCAGCAATCATATATATATATATATATATATATATATATATATATATATATATATATATATATAT